GTATATTTGATGCTCATTAAAGCAGACTGCACCTTTAAAATAAAAGTATACAGAAATCACAGTATGTCCATACACAATGGATGCTAGGTAGCTGGCAAAATGAATGGGACTCTAAGAAACAAGAGGGTACAACCTAGCGAAGTGCCAAACATTCTCCACTTATGGGGAAAAGGCTATCTCTACATACACACAAGTATCCATATGTGTGCACTTACACATGAACAGCACTTTTCTAGAGGGACATACTTAGTGGCTTCCTCTGGGGTAGAGGCATTGAAGGTTTGGGGTAGGAGACTCACTTTTTGTTCTAAGCCTTTTGTATTGTTTGAATTTATTACTGTGTATATATACAGTATTGCCTTTTTAATTAAAATGTTTTTTAAGTGTAACTTACACTTAAAAAAACATGTTACCAGTTTTATATATCAGTGCCCTGCCTTAAGATTTTGTGTGAAAATGTAAAGATTATGTTGCCAAAGAAGCTTGACAAATGCTGAGCTAGTCTAATTGCCTCCTGCTGCAGATGGGGAGCTGGAGACCAGAGAGGCTCTTTTTCTGCCCAGGCTCTTTCTGTCTGGAGAAAAGGCACCCAATTTTCTCTAAGTTTTTTATTCAGAGGGAAAAAAGGCAATGCTTATCATAAAGGAGCTTACTGCTACGGGAGGAATTTATAAGACACCTGGAGGGAGGAGATGTTGGGGACTGCCTGCTTGCAGGATGACTCAAATCCTAAAATGCCACCCAGTCATCTTCATGTGAGGCCACCTTGAGACTGTCACCCCTGTCCCCTGCTTTCTTAGGAACATAAATCTTACCTCCCTCATTTGCAGTGGACTACTATAATCAAGAATATTCCAGTCAGGACTTCCCTGGTAGTGCAATCGTTAAGAATCTGCCTGCCAATGCAGGGGACATGGGTTCGAGCCCTGGTCCGGGAAGATCCCACATGCCGTGGTGCAACTAAGCCCGTGCACCACAACTACTGAGTCCATGTGCCACAACTACTGAGTCCATATGCCATAACTACTGAAACCCGCTTGCTTAGAGCCCGTGCTCCACAACAAGAGAAACCACTGCAGTGAGAAGCCCTCGCATTGCAACGAAGAGTAGCCCCCGCTCATTGCAACTAGAGAAAGCCGGCGTGCAGCAATGAAGACCAAACGCAGCCAAAAATAAATAAACTAATTAATTAAAAAAAAGAATATTCCAGTCAATTACACCACAATAAAGCTGAAAATTTTTTAAGTTAAATTATTTTTAAGGATTATTCCTAACACAGGAAATTTCTGGTACTGGAGAGATGTTCAATAAATATTTACTGAATGAATGTAATCATCATGGAACCTGTAACTAATCAGGAGGGCTAATTTTTAGATGATTACTTTAAAACGTTAGAAAAAGCAAACAAAAGCTAAGCATAAAAGTATAAAAGAAAATCAACTATGATAAGAAGGACAAAAAAGACCATTTCTTTGTAATGTAAGACATTTATTTTGGTTACAGTTTTAGTGTTTTAACACTGATTTGTGATAGAACAGACATTAAACTTACTTTTTTTTAAAACCAATTTAATACCTTCCCCTTTTCTGTCCAGAAAATTCACACTTTCACAATCAAATTACCCTAAAAGCTGACAGGAGGTAAGTAAAGCTTCCAAACAATATGCTCTCCCAACCGGAGATGGCCTCTCTTTCCAATCAGGATAAAATCTTGACTTGGAAGGACCATCGTTGTTGGCTCTTCAGTGATTTTTGTGCAGGTTTTATGACAGAAAATTTCCTGCGAGAAAAGCTAATATATTCACATTTTAAGATCAGTGCTTATTTCGATTAAAACATTAGCATCTTATCATTAACTTGTGACACAAAAGGCACCAACATTCCTTTTCCAAGCATCCATCACCACAGGTGGAACACAACGCCACCTGCTGGTCATCATATTGTTACACACCCTATAATTTCCAGATGGCGGTCAGTATCAATGCGGATTCTTAAAGAACCCCACCGTGTCAGAGCCAAAAGGGACCTTAGAGGTCTTCGAGTCCCCTTGCTTGACAGATGGTGATTTTTGCTCTCCAGCTCACTCAGAGCGGCAGGGAAACAGACCAGCCTGCGGAAGGTGTACTGCTTTAGAATCTAGAAGAAAACTGTTTGGTGCTCTCATCTGGCCTAGATGGGGGTTTGCTAGTCAAAGAAAGAGATCAGGTCAGAGGAGGGGGTAGAGGCGTCCTGAGTTCCTATCCCATCACTTCCCAGGGGTAGAAAGCTATCCAGAAACAGCTTTCCACTCACAGCTGGGCATGTGTCGGCTGAAACAAGAGAGTTTGATTTTAAGGAGCTACGTCTCGTGAAGTAAATACGGCGTTTCTGGGACTAACAACTATCAAGAAAACCCAAGTTATCAGCAAAAAAGTAGCCCCAAAGTGAAGGCTTAATTCTCCCCATGGCCTTTTCTCCAACATACCCCTAACAAAGAGTCCTTCAAGAGATCCTGGTCAGCCGGCCTAAGTAGCTGTGGCTGTCCTGTGCAGGGACCACTGCCTGGGTGTGGGAGGGGGACCCCTGCCCCAGCTCCTGGGCCTCTTCCGGAAGTGGAGCAGAAAGCTCTGACTTAGGGATGCTACATGTTTCCTAGAAGAAGAGCCACACATTCTAACCCGGTTGGGGACCCACGCCTTTTACTTCCTTGTCCTGGAGCAGAGTCCCGCCGCCCCCAACACCACAGCTTGAACAGCTGTCCTCTGGCCACAGAGCTAACTGGCTCTTGTGCACACGAGCTGGGTCACAGACATGCCCAGGGGCTCATTTCTTGAGGAGGAGTGTAGTATGAGAGAAAGAATTCAGCTTCAGAGAGCAGCCAACCTGAAATGTCGCCTCAGCTCTGCCTTAGAGCTGGGCAGCCCTGAGCACTACACCCCTACTCACTCTGAACCCCAGTTCCTTTCCTGAAAGGTAACAATACATGAATAAGTCCTACCAAGTTAATAGGTTATTGTGAGGATCAAGATAGATTAAGCGTGAGAGTTATCTGAGCACTGTGAGGGACATAGCGGAGAGCGTGGCCGTTTCACTTAGGTGGGTCTACTGGGGCAGCCTCGTAGCTGAAAAAGAAGACAGATTCGAGTTTGTTCAGGGCTGCTGAGGTCACAAAGCAAAGGGGACATCCAGGCTGCGGAGACACAGACCATTACACCTGGGTGTGAGGCCCAAGGCACACCTGCTTCTCCTCAACCTAGCTGGAAGCTTCTGGTCAACTCTGGAAAAGGCACATTCCCCACCTCCATACAGTAATGACGCTGCCTGAATTGAAACTTCAAACTGAATTTTAAATATTCAACAAAAGTCCCTGATATATCCTTTCAGGTAAGACTCCTTTGCAGATCCTTGCAAGAGATCCTACCACCAAGTCAGGCTTCTGGGAACTTGATACACCCACCAGAACAACACCCTGCATATATTTGGTGCTCAAAAAAAAAAAAAGTTTAGGGCTTCTCTGGTGGCGCAGTGGTTGAGAGTCCGCCTGCTGATGCAGGGGACACGGGTTCATGCCCCGGTCTGGGAAGATCCCACATGCCGCGGAGCAGCTGGGCCTGTAAGCCATGGCCGCTGAGCCTGCATGTCGGAGCCTGTGCTCCGCAACGGGAGAGGCCACAACAGTGAGAGGCCCGCGTACCACAAAAAAAAAAAAAAAAAAAAGTTTAATTCCACAAACTTTTATCAGACATCTATGTGCTAAGCGCTGGGGGCAGAGCTGAGGACCACCTCTCTGCCGTTAGGGAACCTGAAGATGACAGCACTGCATCGCTTGCCCTGATGGCAATCATGTCAAGTGCTAAGAAGACTGTGTTCAAAACAAAACTCCTATATTCTGACAAATATGCGCACACGCACATGTGTGTGAGTCCTTGTGCGTTCCGACGTCATCCTAAAAAAGTCCTTACAGAGGCTGTTTCTTTTTGTTTTCTCTACCACCAGTAAAGGCGCCATTTGGACGTTCCGCCATGTTTCCTTTCTGCCTGGTTGAGTCATTTTTTGCTTCCCAGGCTCCTGGACCTTTTCTGGCAGCACAGAGCTGGAAGAACTACCGGTGAGTGGGCAGGATGTGAGCCTGGGCCCGTTCATCCCCTTGCTTGTCCAGCCACTGGCTGTGTTGCTCTCTCTCTCTCTCTCTCTCTCTCTCACACACACACACACACACACACACACACACAGAGATACGCACATGCGCGCACGTGCACGCACGTGCTATAATTGGCCAACTTCCTCCTCCTCTTCTTGGAATAGTAACCGAGACAAAAAGCAGTGAGCACGAGTGGCTTGGGCTCGCCAACACTATAATTCAGGACAAAACCCTTGTAATTCTCCAAATGGTGGGGTTTTTAAATAGGCTGGACTTCAACACCCTGTTTTCTAAAAACGAAAAATAAAACCCTGCCCAAGGCATCGCTCTTCTAACCGACCAAGTGACCTCTGAGAGCCGGGTACCCCAAAGAGGTGGATTCTGAACTCAAGACTTCCAAGGAGTCACATTTTTTAAACAATTAATTTAGGAGAGTCCTCCAGGGCATGTGTTTGCCCACTCAAAGGCTTCTTTGTTTCAGTATCTTTAATCCTAAGGAAATCATTAAAATGCAGTCTCTTCATGGGAATTTCCACCCACGGACAACTGACCCTGAGCCAACTTCAGACCTCACGACGTGCCTCTGCCTACGAGCAGGGTGTGGACAGCTGTGAGGGGACAGGGGAGACAGACACGGTGTGGGGAGAGGGGCCCGCGTTTGCATAGTTCCTTTACAGGGCTGGGGTCCCCACTCAGGGGAGGGCCCAGTGGTGAAGGTTGGGGAGGCGGGGAGGGGTCCCTGTGAGCATCTCAGGCCTTACACCTCCACACACCCCTTGCCCTGGGCCATCCAGGAGAAGCACGCCCGTCACAGGCCTGCGCCCCCTCCTCAGGGTGAGGACATCATAAATTGTAGGCACCAGGGAGCAGTAATGCCCTCCTCAGCAAGCTTCTTTATATGCTCCCCAGGGGGAAAGTGGCCCAGGGCTGTGTTGGGACAGACTTGCGGGCAAGTGCCTGGTGATGCTGGGAGCAGGGTACACTGTGTTTCCTAAACATGGCAGCTTGGGACACCACAACCAGGGCGCCTCCCTCCATCCGACCTCTAGAGAAGAGGCACTGAGGGCACCCTAGAGTTTCAATTTCCCCTCCTTGACTAGTCTATCATTGAGCTGGCAGAGCTGGGCCAGGAAACCATCGTTGGGGCCGATCTCACGGTTCTGCCTGACGATGCTCAGGGCAGACTTGACATCCATCTTCTGACGCATCATGAGATACGCGATGACGAGAGTTGGGGAGCGGCTGTAACCCTCACGGCAGTGGACAAGCACTCGGCCTGTGAAAGATGGGGACACAGTGAGCTGGGGCCGTCCCATCACACCTCGACTCCAGTCAAAACCCTTCCAGGGGGCTTCCCTGGTGGCGCAGTGGTTGAGAGTCCGCCTGCCGATGCAGGGGACACGGGTTCGTGCCCCGGTCCGGGAGGATCCCACATGCCGCGGAGCGGCTGGGCCCGTGAGCCATGGCCGCTGAGCCTGCGCGTCCGGAGCCTGTGCTCCGCAACGGGAGAGGCCACGACAGTGAGAGGCCCGCGTACCACACAAAAAACAAAAAAACAAAAAAAACACACAAACACCCTCTCGTGGTCCCCCAAAATGTCCCACAAGGCTCTACTAGATCTGCCCCTCCCCCCGCCACTGACGTAATCCCCTCCTCCTCTCCTCGCTCCCTCCAGCCGGCTGGCAACACGAGCCCCTCCCCATATACTCCTTCAACCCCTTCTCCCTGCTTTGGTCCCCCCACCCCCTGACGGGACACATATCTTTTTCACTTGTTTGCTGTCATCTTCCCCCAAAACATAAGCTCCACGAGGGCAGGGATGTCCATCTGTTTTGCTCCGTGCTGCATCCCCAGCGTTGGGTGAAGGAAGGAAGGGATGGTCAGGAGAGGTCAGAGGCATTGTCAACAAGGTTCCTGTAGCCTGAGCTACAAGCCTTGGCTTCTCTTATCCCCACCCCCTCCTCACACAGAGTGCTCAGTTCAGGTCCTTGTCACCTCCCACCTCTGCCCCCTCACCTCCAGACTGAGCTCTCACTCTATCTTTACCACCACCAACCCACACTCCAGCTGGAGGGGGCTTTCTAAAATATAAACGTGACCTGCCACCATTAGCCGGGTAGTCTAGTCCCCAAGGTGTGACTTGCCAGGCCAACCGCCCACGGCCCCAACACCTTTCCAGGCTTTTTCTCAGCCTTTGCACATGTTTTTCCATCTACCTGGAACATCCTCACCCCCTTGGCTACTTGGCAAACTCCTGCTCATACCTTAAGACCCCAGCTCAAGTATTTCCTTTGTCAGCATCGGGACTTAGAACCCAAATCTTTGAAGTCATGTGAATCTGGGTTTAAATTTTAACTTGCTGGTTGTGATGGTTTAACTTGTCAACTTGGCTTGTCTATGATGCCCAGTTGCTTGGTGAAACACTAGTCTCGAAGAGATTTCGTAGATGTAACGAATATCTCCCATCAGTTGACTTTAAATAAAGGAGATCACCCTTGATAAGGTGGGTGGGCCTCATCCAATCAGTTAAAGATCTTAAGAGCAAAAAACTGAGGCTTCCTGGAGAAGGAATTCTACCTTCAGAAGTCCTGCCCGAGTTTCCAGGTGCCGGTCTGCCTGACAGAGTGCAGATTTGCCAGCCCCTATGATTACGTGAGCCAATTCTCTGAAATAAATAATAGCTATATTCTATTGGTTCTGTTTTTCTGGAGAACCCTGGCCAATACACTGGTTATTACTCTATGACCCACCTAAGCCCACTGTGCCTCAGTTTCCTTGTCTGTGCTAATAGTACTCATGGCACAAGGTGGTTGGAAGATTAAAGGAAGTGACACATAAAACCCTTAGGCTAGGGACTTACCTGGGAGCGCAGTGGTTAAGAATCTGCCTGCCAATGCAGGGGACACAGGTTCGATCCCTGGTCCGGGAAGATCCCACATGCCGCGGAGCAACTAAGCCCGTGCACCACAACTACTGAGCCCGCGTGCCACAGCTACTGAAGCCTGCGCACCTAGAGCCCATGCTCCACAATGAGAAGCCACCGCAGTGAGAAGCTTGCGCACCGCAACGAAGAGTAGCCCCCGCTCGCCACAACTAGAGAAAGCCCGTGCGCAGCAATGAAGACCCAACGCAGCCAGATACATTCATTTTAAAAAAAAAAGACTTAGGCTAGTGCCTGGCAGATGGGAACATTCAATAAATAAATATTAGCCAACACTACGAGTCCTCTGCTGGCACCTGGTACACCCTCTTCAACAGCAGCCCGGCGTCGGCCACACAAAGACCGACCCTCCTCTGCCAGAGTGTGAGTTCCTTAAGGGTAAGGACTGTGGGGTACTGATTTTAGATGCCCTATAATCTCCAGCATACAGTAGGTGCTCAATAAATATTTGCTGACCAGCTGAGTGAATGAATACCCACCAACACCTCTACACGGGCATTCTTCTGAAGGAAATCTGCTGGCCCAGAATCAAACAGAGTGTCTTCCGTTCCCATTACCCTATCCCCAAAACATAACCCTATTTTCCCAGCGCTGATGAGCAGGAAT